TCATGACTCCTATGTGAACTGGTGAAGAGGCTGTTTTCTTAACTTATAACAGAGAAATGTCCAGGGGATTAGAATGTGAATCTCTTGTTCTAAACTTATTAGTACAAACGAGTTCTACCTTTCATATGTAAAGCTTTTCATCTTACTTAGTTCAGAGTGTTTTCAGGTCAAAGCTAGAATAAAAGCAAGAGTTTTATTGTTTTTTTACTGTTTATATCTCCTTTCAAGAGAAGAAATCAGCAGGCATAGGCACTCTCACTAGCCTATAGGTATCTTTTCTCTAGGTTGTATCAAATAATGACATTCTATCCAAAGGTGCCATTATTAATGCTCCCTGTAATATTCTAGGGGATTGGGAAAGTAAACAATTAAAGCTGCAATTCTGTAGTTAAAGTTCTATTGAAATCCAGTAGAAACTAGTTCCAAATAAGCAGGCACAGGATCAGAGGATACGTAAGCAGAAAATGGATTATTCTACAACCAAAACTGACCTTCCTCAATAAGTATTTAGTAGGATATATTTTAAAAACTTGAATTCTATATTATTATTATTATTATTATTATTACAACAACAAAACTATGTCTTAACAACTGCCACACTAATATCATTGAAAATGGTCTCCTCATAGCAACTGTCCATATTATGTATCACTTGCAACCACAGAGAGAATTTCTCCCTACTGAATGTTCCTGCCAGGCCTTGATTATGGCACATGTATCCAGGCAACTGGGAAATGCCATCAGCAGTTGGGAAAATTCACATTAGTATATATGCAAAGACACAATTTCTGTAGATATCAGAAATACAGACCACTATTTACAAAAGGCTATGGAGGAACTACATGGCCTTGTATGAGATCATTGAGTGTGTGTGCTGATGTTGTCAGTCTGATCCTGAATTTTGACACTTTTAGTTCTTCAGAAATTAACTTGTTTGCACTTAGCCTGCAACTGTAAACTTCTGCCAGTTCCTAAAACCTAGACAATAAATAATATTCTTTCAACTAAGCTGAAAATCTATTGCTAGAGCATGAAGAAACAAGACTGAGATACATTCTTGATTTTATGGTCCTTTGTTAAATAGTAACGGAAAGCTCAGTTTAGATTTTTATCCCACCCAGGTTCTTGACAGAAAACAGTACACTGGTATCTGATTAGCAATAGATTAAAATATACATTCTAGGTTTTTTTTTTTAAGTTAAATTTCTTCTCTCTCCTGTACCAGTATGCTGTGATTGTTACACCAATATAGTTTTATATTGGATCATATAGTGATATTCATGCTTTGGTTGCTCCTCAGAGCTAGGAATCCTTGAATGAAGACTACCTAACAGACCTCCATAACATGCCATCTTTGTTGCCCAAACCCTCTCTCATCTTCATTCTTTGGAACTTCAATTAAGACGTGGACTGGTGTGGCTTTGAATTGGTGTGGATTATTCTTCTGTGTCTCTGAACATGAGTAACCTGTTTTGGAATAAGACCTTCAGTACTGTTACTGCTGTATGCTTTTTCAGCTTATTATCCTGTATAATAGGAATTGCAGCCACATGAAATGGCGGACGTGGATTCAGAACTGCATGCATCTGTACACTTAAAAATACACAAGAGGGGGGAGGGAAACAGCATATAGGTTCTCCCTTCTGCCACTTCATTCATTTTTTATCACCCTTACAGAAGCTGCTTTTTCTGACTGGGGAATAAAGGGAAATTCAGAGACTATATCCCAATCCCTTTTTTTAAACATAAGCCATCTTTCAAAACATATGCATGCAATCAATAAAGCAAATATAAAAATACACTGGGAGATGTCTCTGCACTGCAAATAGAGACAACTTTCACGTAGCTCCATTAACCAAATAATGTTTTATTTATTCACCATCCATCTGCCCTTTTCATATAAGTAAGGAAAAGATCCCAGTAAGGAGAGAAATGTCCCAAGTGTACACCAGTCAAGACTGACTGGGCTAATGATACCGTTTTGTGCTGTAGACACAAGAAGAGAAGCAACGGGTTCCCAATGCACCCATCTGAAGTGTTAATAAATCCTATGCTATACAAAAGTTGGTCTTGGCATTTTGTAATTCAGATAATTAAAAAAAAACATTTTTCTTACATTTGTTTAGAAAGTATGATAGGGAAGATTATGCATTCATCTTTATGTTACAAAAATAAATAAGATGGTGTCTAAAAATAACATTTCCAATTAGTATTGTATTCTGGTCATGTTTCTCAGTTTGGATGCAATCAGAACTCTCTGTTTGAAAGAGTAGGACTTTCACTTACAGTTACAGTGATGCTACTTTTTACTTGAATTTTCTTGCCACGGTAGAAAGATTCCTGTCACTCACACTTACTGAAGAGGAAAGATGGAATCCCTTTACATTGGAATTAATTACAGAAGTTGATTTTCATTTTGCACACTCATCTGGTATCTCCCTTTGGGAGCTTGACTTTATTACTACTACAACTATTCTATTTAGGGATGAGGGCAAAGCACCAGCATTTTCCTCTTTGGTGCAGTGCCTTGTTTACCTAAAGGCATACTGTAATGGAGCTCTGAATCTCATCTTTTCCAGTCTGCTGAGTAATGTGAGATTGGTCATTCATGGACCGCTTTAAAAACAGATCAGTTCCCTCTGAGTCACTGTTGACTTCTTGATTCAGATCCTGATCTTTAAGAGATGGAAAAGCAGCAGCAGAAGGAAAAGAACATTTTCTGAACAGACTTGTGCAATACAGCCTGTCCTTTCAAATGAAGAACCAACCTTGATGGACAAGCTACTTCAGGTTTTAAACAAAGACCTTTCCGAAGACTCCACTGGTTATTTGTAAAGCATTATGGAAGCCCCTCTGAACTGATCTGGAAAAAAAATTTTTTTTTTGAGTTCAGTAGAATAATTTCCCCTCAGAAATATAAAATCATGATGTTGCAAGCACATATGAAAGAGGCAGAGCTT